GCGGGCGGGGCCCTAGGAGTTAGAGCCTTGTGGTGCTGGCCCCTCCTGCGGCCGTAGGTGCGTGGGGTGCTAGGGTGAGTGGGAGCGCTTGGGGTACTGGGGTGCTGAGGGTGTATGCGGGGTGCAGGAGTGTCCGAATGAGTAGCACAAGGTGTTCAGATGTGCGCGGGCACTAGGGGTGCTAAGGGTGTGCAGTTGCACGCAGGAGTGGAGAGTGCTGGGGTATCCAGGTGGACGTGGGGTATTGGAGTGTATGTAAGCTGGCTTCGAGGACCAAAGCTACTCCTGCTGGGATCCGGTACGATGTAGTCCCTAGGCGACCCCAGGGAGCACCTGTACCGCGCCCCTCGGGATTCCTGGGCTGCTTCCTGGGCTGCTTCCTGGGTTTCCAGCCAGGCGCGCCTTTTGCTTATGGTGGGACACACAGTCCCCTATTCGTTCCTACTCTGCCTCACCCTTGCCTTCACAGTGGTCGGGCTGCTCCCTCAACCACCACCTTGCCTAGGGAAATGTTTGTCAGGGACGGATCCCTTGGCTTGAGCCTAGCAGCTGTGCCTGCAGCCTCATCCCCTGAGCAGTGACCACGGGAGTTGGGGGGTTGCTGGGTGACCAAGGATCAGCCCAGCATCTGCAGGTCACCCTTAGGAAGTTGGGCTCTGTTTGGGGTCAGCGGTTGACGCTTCCACTTTCTCCCACAGAGCAGCCTCTGGGATAGAGTGGGGTAAGGTACAGCCCGTTGCTCCCTGGGACCATCCTGCCTGCTCAGGGCTGTAACCTCTCCAGCAGAGGGACTTCTTGACAATTTAGGTAGTTTTGCTGACGGAAAGGGAACGTGAAATGCCCTAGGTCACACACAGACCCGACTGCTCCTCAGTGCCAAGTTTGTTTGCGTGCTCAGAGTAGCCCAGGAAGGGCCTGGGGAGTTTGGTGATTTGGGAAGGGGAAAATCCAAGTCTTGATGTGTCCTCAGCTTCCCCTGGGGCACCTGAAAACATGACGGTTAAGCGGGGCCTCTCTACCAGCACTGGTCCTCATCATAGCAACGTTGTGACTCAACTTGGCAGAATTCTTATCAGCATTTTGAACTGAGAGAGAGAAGCTCAAGGGCTTGCCATCAAGGGCAGAGCCGCAGCCAGAGAGGACAGTTTCTGGCTCCTTAGTGCTGTGGTTGCTCCCCAGAACCCTGGGCCTTGAGCCTATCCTCACTGTGTTGCTTGCAGAATGTTGTATGGGGGTCCCCAGAAGGTCGTGCCTGGCACATGATTGGTTCTCAAGGCAGGAGTGGGCTTGGTAGTCCCTCTAGATTTAGCACAGGATGGAGAACCAAGGCAGGTCCCACTTCACAGGGTGCCACTCCCCCCATTCTCTACCTTGGTTTCCCACCTGCATGGGAGCCAGTGGGTTTGAAAATGCCATGGTCCTATCAATTTTGGCCCCAGGGGTCACTTGGTGACCATCAAGAGCCCCTTCCTGAATTCAAAGTGAGAGCTATCTCTTAACAAAAGTTCCTTTTCCTCCATACCACTGTTGAGATCCAGTTCAGTCTAAGCATGCCCGGCCCATCCACCCCCCTCCTCTGAGTCACTGCATGCCCCCCACCCTCACAGGGAAGAATTCCAGAATGAGGCAGGGAGGGGAGCTGGCTCTCCGTACTCTGGACTTTCCCTCTCTCTTAGCGAAAATCCCACCCAATTATCGCATTACTGGGGGAACCTGGCTGTGGGGTGGGGTGGGGGCCTGAGCCCAGGCAGGAAGACTCCCACTGCCTCTGCCTTCCCAGTGCTGGGGCCTGGGGATTAGAGCCCTGGTGAGGCACCACAGCTGCTGTGGCTCTTCACACACAAAGGAGAGTGGCCATGCCCACCATGCAGGCAGGTGGCACTGCCTTCTCAGGTCTCCCCTCACCCCCACCCCTCGCCTTCCAAAGCCCTCTGCGCACCTTCTCTTAGCTTCCATCTCCTCCCCAGCAGCCAGCTCTGTGCCTGTGGGTAGACATCAAGAGCTGGTAGCCCCCCCCCTCCATCGCTGGACAGTAAGAGGGGTTGCTGAGAGCCAGGTAAGATCTCGTCCTCCTCAGTCAGGCTCCCTGCTTCTGAGTGTTTGCTGCAGGCTTGGATCATCTTGGAATGAACGAGCCAGGACAGGTGGAGGAGGTGCTGGGTGGGGGGTTCCAGCCTGCTTCTTTCTTTCTTGCACAGGGCACCGTGCTGGGAGGGTCTTTTCGTTCCCCTCATTTTCTGTGAGCACTGGCCCCTGGGCAGCCTGACTTTAGGTACCCTCCAACTTGAGCAGTCTTACTACGCAGCACCACCGGGCGGCTGTGGGGGGCTGGTTTCCTCCCTGGGAGCGCCCTCTGCTGTTCCTTGCCTGTCAGGCAGGGTCAGTATCCTCAGGGACCATGCACTTAGGGGTGGCATGGCACCTGTGCCCTGGTCACAGGGCAGCTGCTGGTGAGTTTGGGGTAGATGCTGGAAGACAAGCAGGACCTGGCTGCCCTGTCAGTCACTTGCAAATGGAGGGAGCACTTCTGACTACAGGGAGGGGCGAGACCCAGAAGCCAGCAGGGAGGGGGTGGTAGTAACTGGAGAGAGGGCATTTGAGAAGCCCTCTTAAAGGGGTGGCTTTGGAACTGAACCTCGAGAGACCTGCCAAGGCTCTGTGAAACAGGAGACCCCGCCATTGAGGCTGGATGCTGGGACTCCTCCGGGGAAAGGAGGCGCTTCTTCCCACCCCCAGAGCTCTGGGGGCTGGGCAGAGACACGATGCTGGGGAGGGAAGCGCCTCTTATGAGATGTTAGCTTTGTAACATAGTAAATTCCCTATCGACGCTGAGGTCGGAATCCTTGTTCCCAGCGGAGCAAGCTGCAGATACAAATGGCTTCATCTTTTGCCTGGGAGCTCCAAGGACGAGGGACCCAGGGGAAGGGGCAGCCAGCAGTGATGGTGGATCCAGGTATGAGAAGCAGCAGCCCCACCCCGCCTGTGGCCTGTTGGGTGCTCAGGTGCTCCCAGCACTGCCCTGAACAGCCTGTAGGGTGCCTCTGCCTTCCTTCTCTGTGACAGTGCCCTTTGAGCTCAAAGGCAGGGATGGCAGCTTCTGTGCTCAGACTACAAGAAGTACCTAATGACTATGTATAAACAACCTAGACGTCGCTATTTGGAAAAGAATCCACACAAGATAAAAAAGAAATGCACACTGTTATGTGTGTGTGGTGCTGAGTGGAACCTGGGGCTCCTGCAGGCAGGTGCCGGCCATGGAGCTGCTCCCTGGCCAGTGAATGCTACCTTAGCCCCCATCTCAAACAACTGCAGTTATCTGCCCACCGGAAGTGAGAAGCAGCACGGTCATGTTGCAGCAGCGCTCCGCTCCCCCCGCCCAGCCAGCTTCACACAGGGGTGGCTTTGAGAGGAACACAGACAGTGGAACTGATTGGAGTTTGCAGGTGTCTGGCTTGCAGATGACGGTACTGCTAGGCCTCCTCGGGGAACTGAAACTATCCCACAGTGTGCTGGAATCTTGTGGTGCAGGTTGCCTGGTGCGCGCTTTGGCAGTCTCATTCCAAGTGAGAAGCCTGGCTGCTCATAGAACTGACCCAGAGAGAGGACTGGACCCACATCTCCTGGAGCAGGTCTCCTGCCCCTGCTGCCCTCCATCCAGTCTCTATGATCTCCATGTCCCTGCTGCTTCCTGCGCAGCTGGATGGCTCTTTCTGTATGCACCCTCCCTCCCCTCACCCCTTCCCACCAGCTCAGGATCCTTCGTGACTTGTCACTTCCAGGTCCATCTCTGGCAATCGCTGACATGGGTACATACTGGTAGGGCCTTCGCCAGCAAGGCTTCAAGCTCAGGATGGTCCATCTGTGTTTGGAGCTCGCCAGGCCCTCAGTACCGGCTGTTGTGTGGTTATGTCCTAGCTGTTCTGCTCCTAGAATCTCGGCTCAGACTGGGCTCCCAGTTGCAGTCTGGCTGCCATCCAGATAGGCACATCCAGTTGGCCACTCTGCCTACCCTGTTGAGGACACCAGCCATCAGGACCCCTCTGCCGCCTGTGGCTCAGCTTGCAGCACCTCACCTGCTGGTATGCCCCCATGGGCCCCTCCCACATACCCGTAGGGATGTGCCTGGTCCTTACTTCCTCAGTCTACAGTTGCATTTACAGTACTACCCCCTCGTTATCTGACGTTTCTCTTCCTGCAGTTTTCAGTTATCCTCGGTCAACCACAGTTCAAAACTATTAAATGGAAAATCCCAGAAATAAACAATTTATGAATTTCAAATTGTGCCATTTTGTGTATCCTGATGAAATCTTTCACTGTTTCCCTTTGTCCCACGTGAGACATGAATCACCTGTGTGCAGTGTTTCCATGCTGGATACCTCACTTGTCTGTTAGTCACCTCCACTGTGAGGCCAACAGTCGCAGTGTCAGTGAGGTGTTCAAGCCCAGTTATTTCACTTTGTAGTGACTCCCAAGAGGCGTGATTCTGGCAATTTAGCTAGGCCAAAGAGGAGCCAAAGTGCTCCTTTCACTGCAAAGATGAAAATCCTTGAATTAATTAGGAAAGACAAAATCAGATGCTGGGGTGGCTAAGATCTATGGGAATGCATAACTTGTGCTTAGTTGCAAAGAAGGAAGAGTTCTTTTCATTATTAGTTATTGTTCTTTATCACAATTGCAGTGTTTATGAGCTGGACTTCATTG